TCTGTACATCTGTAAATATAATAACAACGTGTACATCTGTATAGAGCTGAGCTCCCACACAGCAGCATAGCGTGTACCCAATAAAGTAGATGTATGTGACATGTCTGTACATCTGTAAATATAATAACAACGTGTACATCTGTATAGAGCTGAGCCCCACACAGCAGCATAGCGTGTACCCAATAAAGTAGATGTATGTGACATGTCTGTACATCTGTATAGAGCTGAGCCCCACACAGCAGCATAGCGTGTACCCAATAAAGTAGATGTATGTGACATGTCTGTACATCTGTATAGAGCTGAGCTGAGCTCCACACAGCAACATAGCGTGTACCCAATAAAGTAGATGTATGTGACATGTCTGTACATCTGTAAATATAATAACAACGTGTACATCTGTATAGAGCTGAGCTCCACACAGCATTGCAGCAATAAAGTAGATGTATGTGACAAAGTAGATCTGTAAATGTGACATGTCCGTGTACATCTGTATAGAGCTGAGCTCCACACAGCAGCATAGCGTGTACCCAATAAAGTAGATGTATGTGACATGTCTGTACATCTGTAAATATAATAACAACGTGTACATCTGTATAGAGCTGAGCTCCACACAGCAGCATAGCGTGTACCCAATAAAGTAGATGTATGTGACATGTCTGTACATCTGTAAATATAATAACTGTACATCTGTATACAGCTGAGCCACACACAGCAGCATAGCGTGTACCCAATAAAGTAGATGTATGTGACATGTCTGTACATCTGTAAATATAATAACAACGTGTACATCTGTATAGAGCTGAGCCCCACACAGCAGCATAGCGTGTACCCAATAAAGTAGATGTATGTGACATGTCTGTACATCTGTAAATATAATAACACCGTGTACATCTGTATAGAGCTGAGCTCCACACAGCAGCATAGCGTGTACCCAATACAGTAGATGTATGTGACATGTCTGTACATCTGTAAATATAATAACAACGTGTACATCTGTATAGAGCTGAGCTCCACACAGCAGCATAGCGTGTACCCAATAAAGTAGATGTATGTGACATGTCTGTAAATCTGTAAATATAATAACAACGTGTACATCTGTATAGAGCTGAGCTCCACACAGCAGCATAGCGTGTACCCAATAAAGTAGATGTATGTGACATGTCTGTACATCTGTAAATATAATAACACCGTGTACATCTGTATAGAGCTGAGCTCCACACAGCAACATAGCGTGTACCCAATAAAGTAGATGTATGTGACATGTCTGTACATCTGTAAATATAATAACACCGTGTACATCTGTATAGAGCTGAGCTCCACACAGCAACATAGCGTGTACCCAATAAAGTAGATGTATGTGACATGTCTGTACATCTGTATAGAGCTGAACTCCACACAGCAGCATAGCGTGTACCCAATAAAGTAGATGTATGTGACATGTCTGTACATCTGTAAATATAATAACACCGTGTACATCTGTATAGAGCTGAGCTCCACACAGCAGCATAGCGTGTACCCAATAAAGTAGATGTATGTGACATGTCTGTACATCTGTAAATATAATAACAACGTGTACATCTGTATAGAGCTGAGCTCCACACAGCAACATAGCGTGTACCGAATAAAGTAGATGTATGTGACATGTCTGTACATCTGTATAGAGCTGAGCCCCACACAGCAACATAGCGTGTACCCAATACAGTAGATGTATGTGACATGTCTGTACATCTGTTAGCTACAGTTTGTAACAGAGGTGTGTCTTGGGTTGCTGATGTCCCGAATCCTTCAGGTAGGCTGTTCCTCTACTTGCTCCAAAGGATTGAAGATTTCTTTTAGGGCAGCAAGTGGATTCTAGTAGGGATGTAGACTCGAGGCCTTCTGAGAGATAAGACGAGGCTGAACTGTATATATACTGATAGGTGATGGATACTGTCGATTCTTAAATTGGTAGTAACCAGTGACGAGACTTCAGGACTGGAGCAACGTGTGTGCGTTTAGTGGGCCGGGTAACCATCCCGACTGTTCTGAATGTGAAGTACTTTCCGTATATGTTCATCGCAATACAGAGTGTGTTGTATGGTGTTATTCTGATGTCCCTGTCACTTACAGGTGGAATATTGGTAATAACTGCGTAAACCCCAACTCACGCACTACTTCTCTGTGTCAAACAGTGCGTGATAATGCCTCTGTGAATGCCATCTGTGTATGTGATCCAACTGAGTATTATACGTATTGTCCTGATTGTGTGACATATGTTATTCGTGCATTGTGTGTAATACGTTTCACACGCGTGAGGCAACAGCGCCGATGAGAAGCTGGCACACCAGACCCAGCCAAACACAACAGATATCACTGTTATTACATCGTTTTGCTGAAACCTCCCGGAGAACCTTGTTAGTGCATTTCATATCAGTGTAATGAGCTATTCCTTCACACTGCGATATTTTGGCAAGTCGAGAGATCGAGACGTTGCGTTCACTCTTCTGACAGTCTGTGCTAGTTTGCCGTTGGTGTTCTATGGTTAACAGCTGAACAAATATTTCGATATCGACCATGTTCCCCGGATTCATATGCACGCGTGTATACAGTTGTGTATGAACGATGTTTAGAATGTATTGTAGAACATCAATATCAATAAAAAGGTGTTTCCAGGTGAAGGTGAAATGGGTAAGCTTGTGAGCTCAGATTTACATCGGTGGCATTTAAAACGACTCTGTTTTTGCTGAAGCTATCCCGATGTATGTATTATGTGTTATGTTCTCGGGATATTGATGATTACTGTTTTGTCAACAACCCTCGCTTGTTACTTTGCCCCTTCTTAAAAATTAAATGTCTGCGGTCAAGTTCGGTGACATGATAAAAACACTTGAAAACTCAAGAAAATTCAAAACAGAAAATTCGATAGTTTTTCCACAGCCGGGAAGCCGTAACACAGCCAGAAGGTGTCGGCATGTCATTGCCGTTCACCAATGTCCCCAAATCAGTCATCACGTGTCGGCGTGTGTCCTAGGCCGTTCACCAATGTCCCTAAATCAGTCATCACGTGTCGGCGTGTCTCCTAGGCCGTTCACCAATGCCCCTAAATCAGTCATCACGTGTCGGCGTGTGTCCTAGGCCGTTCACCAATGCCCCTAAATCAGTCATCACGTGTCGGCGTGTGTCCTAGGCCGTTCACCAATGCCCCTAAATCAGTCATCACGTGTCGGCGTGTGTCCTAGGCCGTTCACCAATGCCCCTAAATCAGTCATCACGTGTCGGCGTGTGTCCTAGGCCGTTCACCAATGCCCCTAAATCAGTCATCACGTGTCGGCGTGTGTCCTAGGCCGTTCACCAATGTCCCCAAATCAGTCATCACGTGTCGGCGTGTCCTGGTCCACCCAGCAATGGCCCAGCATCATCCAGGACACGTCAGTGTATCCGGGGCAGTGATGTCTCAACGTCAGTCATTATGTGTCTCCGTGTCAAGGGACATTTAGTAGTGTCCAAACATTTATCACTACGTGTCCAGAGCGGTTCACCAATATCTCAACATCAATCATCATATGTCTGGGTGTCCAGAGCGGTTCACCAATATCTCAACATCAATCATTATATGTCTGGGTGTCCAGAGCGGTTCACCAATATCTCAACATCAATCATTATATGTCTGGGTGTCCAGAGCGGTTGACCAATATCTCAACATCAATCATTATATGTCTGGGTCCAGAGCGGTTCACCAATATCTCAACATCAATCATTATATGTCTGGGTGTCCAGAGCGGTTCACCAATATCTCAACATCAATCATTATATGTCTGAGTGTCCAGAGCGGTTCACCAATATCTCAACATCAATCATCATATGTCTGGGTGTCCAGAGCGGTTCACCAATATCTCAACATCAATCATCATATGTCTGGGTGTCCAGAGCGGTTCACCAATATCTCAACATCAATCATCATATGTCTGGGTGTCCAGAGCGGTTCACCAATATCTCAACATCAATCATCATATGTCTGGGTGTCCAGATCAACCATTACGTCTCGACGTATCCACAACCGCTCGGCAAGGTCCCATCATCAATAATCATGTCTATGTGTCAAGCGAACAATGATACTACCACAGCAGTACAAGCATCCCTACAGTACAGTAACCTTCCAAGGAGAGATTTCCTGGTTTTAGTCGTAGCGATGCCGCGGCTTTACAGGTCCACTCCACACACCACACTACCCTTCCTGGACTGCTGCTGTTTGTGCCAGAAAGCAGGAAGCTCTAATGTCGGTGTGACTGAAACGTCTTTTAAATCTAATTGAATGTTTGCTAGACACAAATGGTGTAGCACTCAGAAGTATCCCTTGTCTCACTAGCGATGGTTAAACTTATCATCCGACTGATAGTAAATCCTGATCAAACCAGTGAATTATACTTTCATTGAATCAAACCTGGGCCTAGATTTTCGAAGTTCTCTTAGCGCTAAGATAGTCGTAAGTTAATGTTAATTTATGGCACTTACGACTATCTTAGCGCTAAGAGAGCTTCGAAAATCTAGGCCCTGGTTTCATCGGAAGGACTTTAATACTATTTGTGTTAGTTGTGTCCCCCACGCCCGGGTTGGCGTCGGGATTGGCGCTAAGAACACAACTCCTTTCTGAATCCCATAGTTTGCTAAGCAACGATTGCTGTTATATTAGCGCCATTGAGATCCAGGTAAACCTGAAAGTGACGTGCCTTTGAGGGATTATTAAAACGATTTTCACGTTTTCTAAATTTCCATTCAGAGAAAGTGATTAAAAACCATACGTGCACCTTTATACAGATGGTTTCTAAGAAACAAGCATTGTAAGAGACAAAGGAAATGCTTTCCTCAACACATCAACGCGCCGCAGAGTCGTAATGAGGTTTACAGATGCCAAGAGCCATCCTAAATACAGGTTCAGCCAAGATCTCCATCACGGATGACTTATGTGTGCTGCTAGCGTTCTTTATATGGCACCATTTGTAGGTATCAACAACAACTATGCATGATTTCAGAATATTTTACATTGCGTCACACAATACACCTCCACATTCGCTCATACAAACAATACACATATTGCACATATTGAATTAACATAAGGACACGAGTATGTATACTCAACGAGTGGCGTTGCATATCGCATAAATGCAAATATAAGTTGTCCAGATTGCATCAAGGATATTTATTGCTCTTGTACCGGGGACGCATAGAGGGACTTTGGCTTCGGCAGTATATTACAATACATGCTATAGGGCTGTATCAATTCTACAGCATCCTTTGAACTATAGGCAACACTGTATGAAACTTTCCACTTCAACTTTATGTACAGTACATGGACTAGTAAAACGTACCTACTATCGTTAGTATAAAACATGGTTTTTAAAATGGCAGCAAGATTTGGACGACTTGTTGAAAAAAATTCATTTGAGGTCATTGTGATCCTTCGAGGCACCAAGTTCTTTTGGAAGATGGTCGACAAAATATAGATGTAAAGTATCGAAAATTTCAAACCGAAAACGTGAACGTGAAGAAGGACCGAAGTGAAATTTTCACTTGGGTGGGAGATATTTTCCGTATATACTAATCAGTGATCTTAATGCTTAGCTAACGCTCAGTAAAGTAAGCATTCAGTTGTTTCATTAACTACAATTATGTCATGGAAACATAATGATAATAATCATCACAACGTGTTCATGGTTCAATGTTTGACATATGAATTATGAATATTTGTTCCCAAACCTTCAATAGGAAGAACAGAATTATCGGTGTGTTACGTCTTGGACTTCGCTTGGTAGTAAACCTACACCCAGAGAATAGAAGTCACAGTATCACAATACACGATGATGATGGCCATGAACACGGCTCCCCCCACCAGCAGGAGTAGAGGGAGCAACACATGGCTCAGGATATAAAACGTTGCTGACGTCACATTGCACAGTATGGTTCGTGGTGAGAATGTTCCTCGATCTAGTCATAATGCTAGTAGCCATTCAGAAATCCTTCTCTCTCGAAGTCTTTTATCCACTTTGGTTTCAATACCATGGTCCTGGAGAAGATGGCTGAGTTCTTCCATGTGGTCCGTGTCTGAACTGCACTCACCTTCATCCTCGCTACTTGGACCTGCTCGAGCTGGGACCATCCACTCGTCACTCACGTATTTAAAGATCTCCTTCACAGAGCACCGACGCTCAGGCTTAATGTCCAATATTTTGCGGAAGAATCTGAGGAGACGGGGAGTAAATCGTCTCCACTGGGATGGAATTTTTGTTGTTTTTCGTCTCTGCCATAAGACGAACTCGTTGAAGTACATGTCTCCAATATCTGCATTTTCCCATGGAAAGTTACCAGTCAACATACAAAATAACAGAACACCAAAGGCCCAGACATCTCCGCTGCTGCTGACTTTAATGCTTTCGTTTCTGACCGCTTCGCATATTTCAGGGGGCGTGTAGGGGATGCTACCGTTAGTCTTACGTATGACCGTACCATCTTTCCTCGTCATCCCAAAGTCCATCAGTTTCACTTTACTGAAGTCTCGGTTAAAGAGGAGGACATTTTCAGGTTTAATGTCTCGATGGACTAGTTGTTTGCTGTGCATGAAATCCAAGGCAGAAGCGACTTGCTTAATGATACATTTCGAGGCACCATCATCCATTCCTATTTGCGGAGGTATAGCATCAAACAGGTCCCCAAGAGGGGCGTATTCCTGCGCGAAAACGTAGGATGTTCTTGTTTCAAATGCAACATTGTATGTGTCAACGATGTTGCTGTGAGGGGAGAGGAAGTAGCTGAAGTGGAACTCTCTCTGGAAATCACGCAACTTTGTGCTACACTTTGGAAGTATTTTCAGGGATACTTTGGTGTCGGTTTCCCGACACTTAGCAAGGACAACCTTTCCGTAGGTGCCGCGACCCAACTCTCGGAGAATCTCGTAATGCTCCTTGAGACTGAGTTGCTGGAGGTTGTCGGAGGTGCTGCTGCGAGGGGACCTCTCCATCTTGTCTAAGGTTTCCATGGCACATGGGTCGGCGAGCCGCTCACATCAGAACCATCATCACTTTGTGTCTGGACTCCATAATACGATGCTGAAACAAAGAGAGGGTATCGTTATAATCACCATATCTGATTTGACCGGTAATGTAGCCGACATGATGAAGAGCAACGTTTGTGCATTATGGTTGATGTTTTATGGCTAACATCGATGACGGTTCAAACATTCTACTGTTTCCCGATTCGCTATCTCTGGACATCAGTGAAGACGGTTAGTCATTAGAAGTAATGTTTCTAAGAATTCAGTTCATGCGCGATAGACACTCTCATTCCTTTCCCCACACTGCCTTCCATCAAACAATTCCTACTTATCAATCTTGTCGAATTGCTTCCGCTTACATATCCATAAACTCCTGCCACGACGCCTTGTCTTCCATCATCGGAAACATAACACGTTACTTATAACCGTGATTAATAAATTCCGTCAAACGAATGACGACAAAAAGTTAAATAGGCTTGATACATACGTGGTAAAAGGCAATAATAGACTCTGTGTACAGACCACCTCGACTAAAACTATCTGCTTCCATCGCCGCACCTCCGTGAAATAACAAACTAATCTGGACTGACGACAATAATTGTAGTGGGATATGTGTTATTTTGACTGACGTCCTCTGATTCGTTCACCGGTTGCATTCAGAGTCAACCTCCCACATTTCAGTGTTTATAATCACTTGCTAGCCTCATGTGTAGGTGGAGGGATGACTCGCCATGTATACAACGCAACCTTCAGGACACATGGTGGTGGGGGCATTCATCTCGTAGCCAGTCAGCCTTTGTCTAAAGTATCGGATAAAGATACATGTTTTCAAAATTTCATTAGAAAACCTATTTTCAGATCATGTATTTCTATTATTGTATTTTGATCATCTTCATTATTCATGCTTCTATTTCAAAGCTCAGATTGAAATAAAAATGTTTTTTATATATTTGTCTGATACTACATTAGGATTCCTTGATGTCAATAAAGTCCGTGTGCATTATATTTAAAGGTCATTGATTGTGTTTGCGTTATGGCATGAATAAACCACGATAATTACCGTCTAGGAAAACGTTAATATCGAAGAAGTGACGTATCTCCATATATCATTGACGTCATACAAGTTCTGAATGTTCAACCCACGGTGAAGACGTGCATCCGTCGCCGAATGACGTTACGCAGCTTTTCTCATACATGACGTCTCATTTGCCCCCATTTGATTGGACCTTGAACCGGCAGCCACAGAAAGTCAACATGTGTCAATCCTTGTGTCCCCTGAATACACAGAATGGCTAGGTAGAATTAGCCCATGCCGGATGACTAATAGTGCTACCTTTGTGGAGTTGTTTTCTGTCAGTTTCAGTTTCGCTATGTATGAGTAGCGATACCGTAACACTACATGCTTGTCATGCACGTATGATTCATTGGAGGCACTCCTTAGTGCGTTTAGTAGCATGGTTACTGACACAGCATTAGGGAAAGTATAGTAACATCCCTGTAAGTTGAGATTCTACTGACGATGCCCCATATCCTCAGGTTGCATATCATGAGATAATAGGGCCCGCATTGACACACCTGCCGCGAGACAGAAACACCGGTCAACATACAGATGTAGCTTGGTTCTGGCAATACAGTACGGAGTTCCGTACGTCCAATCGGCATCGTTGACAACTCGATATAAAGGTAACGTTATAGTCAATCGACTTCGAGATATATGTCAAAATCTGATTTATCTGCACCTTAAAACAAAAATAACTACATTCTACAAAAGTGATGGATTTAGGTTCCAAACCTGATGGTAAATTATCCATTCCGTTAGTAACAGATTGATAAAAACATACCTAAATCCAAAAACAACTATCGAAAAAATAACATTATCATAACGCAATTGTTATTTTTTTTATCTATGTTCTGTGTCTGACGTTATGGAGTTGAACATGACGTCAAACAAGTACTTGACATCACACATTGGGGGATTGTTACATCACCCACACTAAAAAATGAGCAAACGTTTCCCAGAAGTTGGAGAGCGTATTTTACATGACTTGCAACCATGTGACTGTGTCGTACACATGCCAGTCAACTTCACATGTGTTGTATCTGTCGCAGGTTTCCCACCGTTACTACATGTTTGGCTTATACCAACCCCCCAAACCCCCCACACCCCCAACAACGTACTTACACACAGCCAGAGGAACACGTATGACAGTGACGCTTGCCTTTCATGCCGTGTACGATCTGAACACAACTGCTTCAAGTAGAATAGTGTATTGATCTGTGTTGCTGTGCTTGCTCCGGACACGGGGCGTGTAGCGAGTTCAGCCCCACATGTTACAGTGCACGGATGACACATCTCGACTATATGTAGTCCTGTCACTCCCCCTCAACTGTCAAACTACATGACGTTACCCACAAACGCGAAAACGATGGCCGTCCGAGGTCGCTCTAACTGACGGGTACCCACTTCCGTAAACCATTCCATATCAGCATAATGTCTATTTACAATATTCCCATCCATTAAAACAGATAAATAGCATTCTTCTACACTTAGCATTATTCTAGGCGAAAACCAAAGAGCAAGCAAACAGACGTAATACATGATATAATTTGACGATAAATATACACATGTTCAGTTATGACTATTGCCGTATTCAAAATGCACAATATAAAACTCACACACACACTAAAGGGGATTATGAGAGAAAATACCATGTTTGATGTGAGTCCACTTACTGGCATCCTGCAACAGGACATGTTATAGTGAAAGTAGACATATTTCCACCTCCCCTTGCACTGGCAACAGACTCCTCAGTAAACACCAATAAAATAACAACATGTATTATTGCGAGAATAACATGGATTTTACCGTTATAAAGCCATTTGTATGCAAACGAACGGATACAATTCAGTTTATTCAACAGTATTCATGCATATCGGGAGATTATTACCCTCAAACGAAGCAGATTGTGCGGCATGAACCATATTGCTTTATTGGACATAATCCATACACAGTGATGATTCAGAATGGCAGTATTATATATAGATTTATTATAACATTGTATGTATCATGTACGCCCAAGCTCCGTTTCCAGTGGGGCGTATTCAATTGACATCCGACTACTAAAGGTATCAGGACATGTTATATACGTTCATATGTGAAGGTACTTAAACATGAAACAAGAAATGGTTAACTCATGACGACGTACTTGAAACAGGTATCATTGATATATGTCTTGGACCTTAAACCTGTCTATTTTTCTAAAGTATTATTTCTTTTTTTTTCTAGCATGATAAACAGGGAGGTAGCTTGGCGGTAAATGCGCTTGCTCGTTGCGCCATAGGGTCAGGCTCATTTATTGGCATTCTACTGGAAATGCAATAAGAGACATCAAGAGACGTCTGATGAGACTGGATGAAAAAGATTGGGTCAGGGAGCTTTGGAATGATAAAGACAACAGAAACGGAAATAAGAACAGGACTTACAGACTATTTGTATAAGATCGACACCCTTAAAGACTATAGTGAACAGAAACACAAGAAGAAATCTCATCAAACCACGCTGTGGTAACCTAGCTCGCCATGTCCACCTGCTTTTAAATTAAACTTTTATGAGCTATTACGGCCTGATAAACTATATACCGTCATGTACGTGTGTGAACACTTCGTGAACAATCAACCGTTGATGGTGGTGTTCCTATATATCATTCTAACACTCCATACAAAGTATAACATTCGATATTCAGGTGGTAACACCGAGAGCCGTGTCCAGAACTTTGACATGACATGAAACGCATGGAAGCTGTCAGTTCCACAAATCCCTGAAAAGAAATATTTACGTTCTGTACAGCAAAACGCCACACTAAACACCAACCTCTCACGTAAGATGCACGTCATCTTCGCCGTTGACGTACAGGCACAGGTCAAGGTTACTACGTGATCAGTGTCCTTCGTGCAACGTACAGTAACGTCTGATAGGTACCACGCGAACATTGTCCTTCGACTAAGCTGAACCTTAACAGCCTTGTCACACTAAATAACTGACTTATAAGCAAGCGTAATGCCTTGCTTAAGTTGACATGTATCACTGAGGAAAGGTTCGGCGAGTTTCCCCACTAACACGGTAAAGTAAGCTCCTTATGACGAACGTACACACAGCCTTGCGTCCCGCCTACAGATGTAGGTCTTCAGAGATGATCAAGTAAACACGGCACTACCATCTAAACGCGCTGCAGACAAGCTCAAAACCAAAGGAACTACTTCCAGACGTGAAAAATGATCTGACCTAGAGGCTGTCCCAGTTATCAAAGTATTGTCTGGTAAAGAGAGAGTGTAACGTTATACTCCTGAACTACACGTGGAATTAAACATTTAAGATAATTGTTATGGTAGTGGAAGGTATTCGCACCTTTTATACATGTCGATATTGATACAGACATAGACACACTCACAGTATTGACACAGACACACACAGGCACACACACAATATTGACACAGACTGCTATGTGAAATAGATAATATCAGGAGATACACCATTGTTACAGACAACTCCTGTCTCGAAACAGTGAGACATATTAAGTCCAGTGCAATGACGTAGTCTGATTGCAGCAATATAGAATATCAACAATACTAATTTATCAGTGTTTCAATCTCACATGTGCCAAACCTGTTACATACACAATGGGATTTAATAATATATGCTTTGGTGGTTTCGATAACGGGTGGAATACATTATGTACAGGACGAGTAACGCTGAAGCTGGAAGTTTAAACAACACATAGTGTAGCATATCGTTTCAGGCAAAGGTCAACAAGGTTAGTCATCACAATACCGCTGTACTGTACACATCGCATCAACACAAACAGCAGATCATCTAGGTGTACTTCTAAAAGTAGAACAGCTCAACATCATCAGCATATAAATGCAATTGTTAACCCTGACGAGTAAAGTTCACCCATTCCATGTTGATACTCAGTACGGTAAACTATTACTATATTTGGTAAACGTTCAGAGCTGACTGTTAAAAAGGGTTTACCTTATAAACATGGAGAAAGATGCTCACGGTTATCCAACATGCGTATCCAAGCTAGTATAATCAGCATGTTTCTTGACAAGGTAGTACCTTACAACTAAAGGCCATAGCACACAACCCATTTATGCTATCACCGTACGTGAGACAGGCTCGACAGCCTTACACAGGTATTGGTTCTGTAGGTAGACAAGCCAACGCCAGTCACGTCTCTCATCCCCTTTGGCTCCATGCCAGACCAGCCAATGGTTCGCTAGCTTTCTTCCCTAAGCTGTTTAGATTGCTCGCGAGTTTGGCGCATGCGGTACTATTATTAGAAGGTGTTTACGTCAGGTTATGCGGGAGAAATAAATCTTTATTTTCCTGGAGTTTCTTTTCATGTTTAGAGTAGTGTGTGGAGCGGATTTGGAATCGATGCCAAATAAACTGTTCGGGGAAGTAGGTTATGGAAGTAACACACTAACTGAAACAACCATACAGCATTCATCGTCCACAAGTAAACATTCTACAACACAACAAAGGAGCGATTAATATTTGATGTACCACAATACTGATTACCTCTTCCAAGCCTGCCTTTGACGGCTTGGCGTGAGAAATCAGTTGTTGTGGTGTTATCTGCTGCCCTGAGTCTGGGACGCACTAGCAGTGTGTTTGGCATCTAACATTCCTGCTCTGATAACTTACAGTCGTTGGATTGTCGTCGTTGTTGGCCCCGACATCTCCCCGTCGCCTGGTGACACGGTACCCGACCAATATACACACCACGTGTTGTTATGACGGCCGGGCGTCC